GCGGACTTCCTGATTAAATCAAACCAGATCATGTTAGGTGGATATTAAAATAACCATGGGCGCATAGCAATGCACTCAAAAATGTTTGTTATCTAAACTAATTGTTTATCGGCGCTTTTCAACAGAAATTAAATATTCATGGCAATTTATATTATATTATATATTGTAAACTTTATTGGACAGTAAAAAAATTGGTACCCGTACCACTTTTTTGGTTCTTGGACTACCTATTTAGGTAGTCCAAGAACCAAAAATTGGTACGGTACCAAAAATTGAGCGTAGTGTAAACGGGGCTTAGCTAAATAGGTAGTCCCAAGAACCAAAAAAGTGGTACGGGTACCAATTTTATCCGTGCCGTACCAAAAATTGAGCGTAGTGTAAACGGGGCTCAAGACATACCAAACGGCACGAGTGCAAACGGGACTCGAAGTCCCATGCGAGGAACTCTACCTTTTTACAAATTGATTAAATTACAAAAATTATTGTTACGATGACTGCAACTAAAATAAACATATGCCAATTGTTTGAAGCTCAGACATCTTAAATGTGGTTGGTTTAAATAAAGTGATTAAACTGATATAAAAAAAACAGCCAATACTGCGTTATACGTAGAATATCAGAAAACAATTACAGAAATACTCAAGCAACAAGCATATGTTTACTTTAGAAACTATTAGTTATATTAATTAAGACCTATGACACGAACAACTACGACATAAAGACCAGGTACATGGCATATCTTCATTATAACTATTTTCTAATAACTGTACGTATGTTCTTGACAAAAAAGATTTCAGTAAACATAGTTAGACTGCGAAGGTCTGCAGGACAAGCTATTTTACACACAATTCCAGAGAGGGACAATACGGTTAAAGAAGGACGACTGGAAAGCACTTGTTTTACCCGACGGAACGTTAAGAACGAGAGAAAGATTTTCACAGTTACGGGTACGATTATGACTAACAAACGACACAAAATTAGAAATATTTAAATCGTAAAATCCATTTAGCAACTAAAATAATCACACAATACTAAATTGTCATGTTACTCATTGTTGGATGTTGTCTTCAGTGCATGCATGCTGGGAATTAACTGGCTGCTGTGAGCCTGCGACCATCATATACAAGGTGACCGATGTATTAACATCGAGACAATATGATTTATTACTTATTTCCCATGACTTTTCATAACTAATTTGCAATGACAAATTCTGGATAAGAATATTTACATGCATTTATGGCTATACACGCTTCATGCGGAAAATACGTCACATCGGCTATAAAGCCTCGTTTTCATGACTGAGACACATGGACGCCGGAAAGGGGGCGCAGGGGGAGCATCGCCCCCCTTGGCCTTTAGTAAGGGGGCAGGGGGTGGCGAAAGTGCCCTTATAGATAAAAATTCTAACCCGAAAAATATATGGTACAACAATTAAAAGGTATGAATTACGGGTGAAATGTACGTAATATTGAAATATATGTGAAATTTTCTAGAATATTGTGTCAAAAATTATATTTTCAAAATTTTTTGCCTTGTTTTAGTGAATTAAGGTACCGGAAAAAATTTTCGGAAATGAAATATTAATTAGTGATTGCCCCTTACGTCAACATTGCCCCCTGTGCCCTACCCTCGCTCCGCCGTCCCTGCTGAGACATTGGCTTTGATTAATGGCACAAATACGGAAACGAGGCCTATATAGCCAAAGTGACGTACTTTGATATTATAATAATGACGCCTGTATACAATTTACATTATTGAACTAAACTGAACTAAAACTCTGCAGTCAGCAATGAATGACTTGCTTACAGCATACAAAAGACAAGAAAGAAACGGACTTTCATTGTCGAATATATGGCTTGACCAGTGGAAACTAGTTTAGACCACTCTAAGAAACGTGTCCAGAGCAGCCAGGAAATAAGCTATGTATACAGCTAAACTGCATGATGTTTAAATTCTATAACACTCCTTTCTCTTACGAATGTATAATTATGTATATCAGACACGAAAAATATCCGACAACTGAGAAAAACCAAAGTCCAATTTTAAAGTCGCTGAACAGTACCCCTTCTGACACTAGAGAGTGTGTCACCTGGATTGAAAATAATCTGATCATTATCTTATTATTATCACTGATCTTGAAAACCGATTATGTAATATTATACAGTTCACATAGTAGGGAAATTATATATGCATATAAAAAAGTATAATACACTATATAAAGTAAAATGCGACAAAGACTTCATATATTCACACACTCAGTAACAGTTGCTCAATACTCTGCCAAAATTACACAAAGCAAGTGTTCTTAGTCTTTTGTACTGACCAGCCTGGTTCCCAGGCATTATCACTCTGCTATATACTAAGCGCGGTAAGCCTGGGCTTCAATGATGCCGGCAATGGAATGCAAAAGCAAACGACAAAAGCCTGGACAATGTCCCAGTCAGTGTCCCAATTCTGGACACTTCAAGATAACAGAGAGGTTCAGTTTGACTTCCACTATATACTGCTACCAATAAGGGGCCATTAACCAATCAAATGAGTTTAGTCTACCCGATTAACCAGTCAGATGCACAGAGAGCAAGTGCTACATGCAGTATCAGTATTTAGTACTGCTTAGTGTAACGCAAGTCGAATGTGAAAGAAGTTTCTCGACTCTTAAATTTATATCAAGAAACAACATTGAGCAGGAGTTAATATTAGAGACACTTATGCTGACGTACTTGGAGAAACAGATGGTCAGTGACATATCAAATGAAGAGATCATCAACCAGTTTGCCAAAAGCTCCTCAATATGAAAATATGAACATATTATTTCCTTTCTCCATTTTGACTTCAAGAACATAAATTTATATTTCGTTTATAATTCATTTGCGTACGTTACTTTTGTAAAAAATGACATTTTTTTCAGATCTATGACTATAATGGTAAAAGTGCCTACTAAGGTAAATTTATTGGTAAATTTATTGGGGGGGGGGGGGGG